CCAAGTGTTGGTTCTCTTCCCTCCTGAGCCCCAAGTGTTGGTTCTCTTCCCTCCTGAGCCCCAAGTGTTGGTTCTCTTCCCTCCTGAGCCCCAAGTGTTGGTTCTCTTCCCTCCTGAGCTCCAAGTGTTGGTTCTCTTCCCTCCTGAGCTCCAAGTGTTTGTTCTCTTCACTCCTGAGCTCCAGGTGGTGGGTCTCTTCCCTCCTGAGCTCCAGGAGGTGGGTCTCCTCCATTTCAGGTGGTGGGTCTCTTCTCCCCTGAGCTCCTGGTGGTGGGTCTCTTCCCTCCTCAGCTCCAGGTGGTGGGTCTCTTCCCTACTGAGCTCCAAGTGGTGGGTCTCTTCCCTCTTGAGCTCCAAGTAGTGGGTCTCTTCCCTCCTGAGCTCCAGGTGGTGGGTCTCTTCCCTCCTGAGCTCCAGGTGGTGGGTCTCTTCCCTCCTGAGCTCCAGGTGGTGGGTCTCTTCCCTCCTGAGCTCCAGGTGGTGGGTCTCTTCCCTCCTGAGCTCCAGGTGGTGGGTCTCTTCCCTCCTGAGCTCCAGGTGGTGGGTCTCTTCCCTCCTGAGCTCCAGGTGGTGAGGCGTCCAGGTGGGGGGTCTCTTCCCTCCTGAGCTCCAGGTGGTGGGTCTCTTCCCTCCTGAGCTCCAGGTGGTGGGTCTCTTCCCTCCTCAGCTCCAGGTGGTGGGTCTCTTCCCTCCTGAGCTCCAGGTGGTGGGTCTCTTCCCTTCTGAGCTCCAGGTGGTGGGTCTCTTCCCTCCTGAGCTCCAGGTGGTGGGTCTCTTCCCACCTGAGCTCCAGGTGGTGGGTCTCTTCCCTCCTGAATTTTGGAACATTTTTTGATTCTATTTTGATCGAATTCGTCCACTGTATTGAACCCAGAGCCTAAACCCATCATCCTTAATGTTAAACTCAATGCAGATATAAAAGACAAATTAATGCAGCTCTGTATTCATTATTACCTCATCAAATGTATTCTTTAAATCCAAGCACCTGAATTTGACTTGGTATTAGCCACTTGCAGTATCTACACAGCAAGGCTCAGATTGGAGGAGTGAGAAGCAGCACAAAGGGCCAATCAGTTGCTCATGTGCTAACGAGGAACATGCTGATAGAATTAGAGAGCAGAATGACAGACTTGTCAGTCTGCTGTTTCTCCTTCACTGTCCAATCACAGACTGGGGGAGGTACAAGATTAGTAAGCATATTTAAACTGCAGCAGAGAAAAATCAGGTCTCCTGCCCTGCTATATAGGGCTATCCTGTATTGCAAAGCATTGTAAATCTTAGAAGAAATCCTTTTGGCAGTTAAATAAGCTCCCAAATATGTATTTAACCTGTGTATTTAGCAGTTTGCCTGGAGTTCAGCTGTAAAAATAAAGAAAGGATTGTCATATGGAGCTGTCATATTGAGGTGCCAGAGCAGGAAATCAAATTGATTGCATCCCTTAAAATCTGATGCAGAATTCAGTGTTGGCGTTGCAGGAATTTCCTTGGAATGTACTTTTTTTTTTTTGCTGTGTCCGCTTTGTTTGACAGTTTGATTTCACAGTGTCTTGCTTTCTTTGTGTGTATTAAGGAAGAACAACACGCTAACACGTCTGCCAACTACGACGTGGAGCTTCTCCACCACAAGGACGGACACATAGAGTTTATAAAGAATGGTAAGAATGGGTTTTTTTTTTCAATGGAAGATCAAGATTGTGCTTGAAATACTTAAAGGAGAACTATGAGGTGAGTGCTTTTCACTCACCTCATAGTTCTAGCCGACCTGTGACAATGAGACTGTCACAGGTCGGTTCAGTAGATCGGGAGGTGAGCGAACACATACCGGCGTTCGCTCACCTCTCGATCCTGTCATGGCTCTCTGCCGTGACAGGGGAGGGGCTGGATTCCCCCCTCCCCGCTCCGATCCGCCAGCGCTGACTGGCGGAACGGACGGGGGAGGGGGCGGGTACAGCTGGCTCTGCCTCTAGATAGGCAGAGCCACCTGTCAGTCACGCAGCTGGGCGGATCCCGGCATAATTGTCGGGATCCGCTTCAGCTGCGGCGTCTCAGTATACCGCGAGCTCCAGCTTGCATTATACTGAGCCTAAGGTGATAGGAGGACGCTAGTTTGTGTCCTCCCATTAACCTAAGGAGAACTATGGGGAAAAGCCTTAACCCCATAGTTTTCCTTTAACACGGAAAGAGTACTTGGCCAGACCGCCCAGTGAACAGGCAAGGCATGATGCTGGGACTTTTTCTTGCCTTCACGGCCAAAGGTCACACATGCCTTGGATAGATAAAGGGTGTGAGATAGATAGCTTTATATTATTATTAATCAAGGTTTTTATAGCGCCAACAGTTTGCGCAGTGCTTTACAATATAAGGAAAACATTAAACTCACAATACAATTCAAGACAAGATGGTAAGGAGGGCCCTGCCCCTGAGGGCTTACAATCTAAAAGGGAGGGGCCAGTGATACATGAGGAGGTAGCTGTGTGGGGATGAATTGTTTGAGAAAGTGATAGTTCAGTGGTTAGGTTGCGGTTGGATAGGCTTCCCTGAAGAGATGAGTCTTAAGGGATTGCCTAAAGGCAGTCAGAGTGGGAGATAGTCGGACAGGTTGGGCAGAGAGTTCCATAGGATGGGCGAGACTCTAGTGAAGTCCTGGAGGCGAGCATGGCAGGAGTTGACGAGGGAGCTGGAAAGCAGAAGGTCTTTTGAAGAGCGGAGGGGATGGTTAGGGTGATACTTTGAGACCAGGTTTGAGATATAGCCGGGGGCAGAGTTGTGGACGGCTTTATAAGTGGTTGTTAATATTTTGAATTTTGTCCTTTGGCTATTGGAATCCAGTGCGGGGATTGACAGAGGAGGGTTGCAGACACTGAGTGGTTGGTTGGGTGAATGAGTCTAGCAGCTGCTATTTATATATTTATTTATAGATAGGTAGGTAGGTCCTCTTTTTGGCCGATATGTGTGCAGTGACAGGTCCTCTTTGTGTTCCCATTAGATGGAAACAGTCGGGAAGCTACACTGAAAGAGACAGTCACTCTGAAGTGGTGCACACCAAGGACAAATAGCATCGGTGAGTGCAAAATGTTCATCTCTGCAATCCATGTACATTTCCCTTTGTTTTTATTCCTTTTAGAGACCCTGCAAGCACAAAAAAATAGAAATGCACCGTTGACAACACACGGCGTTATTGTGGGCAGAGTGGCGTCAGCCCTCTCAGTTGTCTTTTGCTGAACTTCTTAACAACTCCCACTTTCAGTTCTCTAGACCCTTGGTTCTCAACTGGTGGGTTGCGACCCTGTGTTCAGTGGGTCACCGCATGCTTTCCACTTTTCTAGGTGAGAAGCTCACCCAGCCTCAGCCTCCCCCATAGCACAGCACCGTCCCAAGCAGTAATTCAAAATATGCTGCCCGGTGCCAAGTGTCAGCTTGAGGTGGGGTGGGCTAGGGCTATGGCTGCGAGAGGGCTCCATCCATACATGCATTGCTTACAGCTCCCTTGTGTGTCCTGTAGAGGTTCCTGGACCAGTGTGATGTCACATTCTGGCTCCTGACACGCACCTCTACAGGGTGTGCAAGGGAGCTGTACAAGTGGATGCACATATGGATGGAGCTCTGTCACAGCATGGCAGCCCACACTGGACCCCAGGCTGAGGATCCACTCCAGTTCTTGTAAGGTAGGGATGTTTTTTTTTTTTATTATTACATTTTTTTGGAGTGTGTATGTGTGTGTGAGAATGTCTGCAAGATTGTGTCTGTGGTTGTGTGTGTCTGTCAGTGTTTTTGAGGGCCCATTCACACTACTACAGTGCGTTAATCGCACAGTCCCGTCCGATTAACGCACTGTACCACACAATCGCACCTACCACGCGTTCTGGCATGGGAGATGGATTGCATTGGCATTCCTTTGAATCGCACCCCAAATGCATCTATTGCCCACATCGGAATGCGCGGTATGGCAATGCCATGCGTTCCATTGCAGTGCAACTTGGGGCACAACTTAATGACCAAGGATAAATGTGGGTGCTGAGATTACACAGGTTGAGAACCACTGCTCTAGACAATAAAAGTTAATCATTCTGTAGTCCAAGAAAAGAACTAGAAGAGCTCTTTGTGATGACACAGCAAGTGTGCAGAGGACACAGAACGGATCTGGATTTTTGACAAGATCAACAGGGTTTTTTTTACACTTCTCAAACAATTAAAACAAACTTCTTCCAATGGAATAGTAAACAGATCAAAGGGGAGCAAATAGGAGAAATTCATTGTTGGGGCTTACCTCGTACATATTCATTTGTTAATATTGTCTTTTTTGTCTTTAGAATTGCACTACTGCACAGGAGCATTTCGAATATCGCCGGTAGATGTGAACAGCCGACCGTCTTCCTGCCTTACCAACTTTCTGTTAAATGGTGAGAACTGGGGTGACGCGCAGTTGTATGTACAGTATATTAAAAGTTCTGTCAGTATTTACAAGTATTATGTTTCCAGCTCTCTGTGGGGGCTTCCAAGTTGTCTCTTGAATCAGGTGCAAGTTATCTTTGGTGCAGATGAAAAAACTGACCTTTTGGTGCGGTTGGCTGTAGGTAGACGGTTGCATTATTGTGAGTTAGAAAACTGCAAAATGCAGACTGCTGTTAAAAGCCTACTTGCAACTGTTCAAAAAAAAGGGGGCGACTCCATGTTTGGGGAATTATACTTTGTAACGTTGAAAGACAAAATTTAGTTTCTGTCGTTTTTGAGTAGGGGATGTTTTTTGTGTGTGTGTGTGTGTGTGTGTGTGTGTTTTTTTTTTTTTTAAGCATAGGTCACCTGTAAGTGCAAGTCACCTGTGACATTTTGGATATCCTATCATTTTCTAGTCCTC